CACCTGAGAGTTGCACCAATATTCTTTTTCTTATTGTGGCATTTTCATACATGTATATAAAATATTTTAATCATATTATTTCCTCCATTATCCTCCCTTGCCCACTCCCCCTCCTCTCCAACTCCCTCCTAGACCAGACTTTTTTAACCTTTCACAGTTGTGCTCTCAGGAGACCCCAGAGACCTCTAGGTCTGCGGTTGCCTGACACATTGTTTCCATACACTTAAGGGCACTTTTCTAAGGATATGATGTATGTATACCTTGAATCAGGTTTCAAAAGTGTCCATAATCCAAAGAAATCTAAAATTAAAGCCTGCAAGAAGGATTTAAAAAAACGTCTAGACCCTTGTGTTTCAATAAATACTTCAATGAATACTCATATGCTAGGTCATTTCAGAAAAATTATCTTAGTGTTTTTGCTGATGCATCCATTTTTAAATGATTTAGGATTTCTCCCTTAATAGTATATAGTTCTTAACACCCAACACCATAATTACATTGCTGTAAGTTACCTGCTTTCAGGCTCAAATTTTCTTGTCGAAGAAATCACGCAGCCTGCTTAATGTGGCTGGTTTACTTTGGTCTAATCCCACTGACTCCTCAGTTTCCTGGCTGGGCCTGTCCTGTTGCAGTTTGGGGTTGGCAGTGTGCCTGCAGTGGACAACACAATCTCCCGGAGCTCCCTGAATCACCTCCTGCCAGACAGTGGCAAACAATGATTCACTTTGAATGAGTGCATCACTGAAACCACACTCTACACCGGCAACAAGTCTCCTCACCCAAACCCAGAAACAAAAGTGGCAAAACATTCAGTTCTGCCTCTACGAAAAGAAAAATCTGAAGACTCTCACCCTCAACATTCATGTAAAATAAAACCCAGGGGAAGTAGAATCCCAAGGGCCTGTGCTCTCTTTCGTACAATAAGGCTACTTGAATATTTAATGTTCCCCCGCCAAATGTAAGCACTAAGAGGACCATGACTTTTATTGCCAGGGACTAAAACTATACTGTTGAAGCTAGAGTGAATGTTAAATGATAACCTGGAAAATGAATTGAATAAATTTGTTAAAAGAATAAACTTGCCTATGAAAGTTCACTTGGTTACCAGGCATTCAATTCCATACACCGGCTGCTCCCCAAATAGCCCATGAGATAATAAAAGGCTTTATTCAAATCTAGTGCCAGAAAGATGGAGTGGCTTAGACCGCATCAGGCCACACTGTCTCACTGTGACCAGGTGTGCTGAGCCCTTCAGAGTGAAGGATCAGAGGGAGGAAACAGAGAGGCAACATATAACTCCACACTGTATCTTCCCCATCCTCCCTTCCCCATGGAAAGGGGAGATCTGCATATTCTGTCCCTTCCTCTGGCCTCAGGAGGAAGGAGGGTGGCAGTTTCTGCCCTTGCCATGAGAAGTTTGGAGAACCATGTAAGCAATCTGAACTCAGAGTTATGTTTCCTCCTACTGGTTGTAAGAATGTAAATAAATTTGCTTTCCTTCCACATTCTTTACTCCTAATAACCTTTACCCTGTTATTCCCTGATCTTCAGTCATGTTTACGCTCCAAACCCATGCAGAGCCACATCTCCTCTTTGAAGTACTCGCTCAACTCAGTTTGATCTACACCCAATAACATATATCCTTACAATTCTGCATCAACTTGCAGTGATCATCTTGTGCTTTTGTAATATTATAAACTTAGAAGATGCTAAAGAAATGTAAAACAAGGCCTCAAGAACTCTCCATCTAGTTACTACATTCTAGCACAACAGAGACTGCCAGAAAATAATGGAGACAAGGGAAAGGATTTAGCTCAGTAGTTCTGGTCACCTGCCTCGCAAGCACAAGGTCCCGAGTTCAATCCCTGGTACCAAAAAGAAAAAAAAAAAGCAGAAGAAAATAATGAATGGAGACACATAGAATAATAGCTGATGATGCAAAGGGCACATGTAGTTAAATCAGACTCCCCCAACCTTCTCTCACACTGCTCCTCCCCTCCCATCTTGCTCCAGTGTTAAGGGACCACAGCACTGCTGTGCAGGCCTGCAGTCTCCTGACTGCCTAAGGGCATTCTTCCTAGTCTTCAAAACCCATGGGGTGTTCTCTGTTGAACCTTTTCTGACCTCCTGCCTCCAGCCAAGTTAACCATGTGCATAGTGTTCCTGTTACACCCACCACACATGCTGCCACTCTGAGCCTCTGTGTTTCCCTCCAAACAATATCCTTATGCCTAGCATAGCTTCTGACAGTAACCAAAGTCAAAAGTGTAAATGAATTGAATCATTGGAGAAAAGCTTTGTTTCCCTATCTCAGTCCATTTTCCATTAAGTCACCTGTACTGTACAGTCGAAGAAGAAAAAAAGGAAAGAAGGCCAAATCTCAGATGGTCTTCCATGCCAAATGCAGATATTCTTTGTTTAACAACTTTTGGATTTATGAATTTTGACTCATCTTTTTTTGTACAGCTTTACATCTTGTTTATAGAGCCCCATGTCTTTTTCATATAGTACACGTTGCTTATACTGTGATTTTCTCTGATAGTACTATATAGTATGGTACTGTAAATTTCTATTCTGTTATACATTAAAACACTGCGTGTAAGAGTTATGCAAATAAAAGCAGTCATCAAGCTGGAGTTTCCTTTGAGCATGTCTTTGTACATACAACTCCTCATTAAGCAGCCAATTTATTTAGATGTAGTCGCAAGAATGGAACTCAGTCATTAAACAAAGAATGTCTTAGAAGCCTGACCCAAATTCATCATTCATTTGATTTCAGAAATTATTGAAGGGACCCCACCTGCCTCTGCAGAGGCCTGGGCCCTAGAACTTAGAGATTGCACTCTGCTGTTCTTTTTCAGAAAGAAACTGCACTGGATCCCTTGTCTTTACCTTAGGTTCCATTTTCATTTGCATCTCTCAGATGACCAGTGATGTTGAACATTTTTTCTAATGTTCATTTGCTGTCTCTACTTCTTTGAGAAATGTCTCTTCACACTCCAGAGAGAATGGCTGCTATCAAGAAATCAACCAATAACAAATGTTGGAGTGGTTATGGGGAAAAAGGAACCCTTCTCCACTGTTGGTGGAAGTATAGACTGGTGCAACCACTGTGGAAATCAGTGTGGACATACCTCAAAATATTAGGATTAGAGATTCCATTTAACCCAACTATTCCCCTTCTTGGTATCTTCCCAAAAGAATTAAAAGAATCATACCACAGTGATATATGCTCACCCATGTTTATAGAGGCACAGTTTGTAATAACTAAAACTTGGGAACAGCCCAAATGCCCATCAACTGGATAAAGAAGATATGAGTTCTTATAAAATGGAATACTACTTAGCCATAAAGAATGAGAAAGTACAGACATTTATACCTAAATGGATGCACATTTAGGTGACACTCTTAAGTGAAATCAATAGACACACGTGTAAATACCAAATAGTTTCTCTGGTATGAGAAACTAAAAGTGAGAACCAAAATGTATAATAGATAGTACAAAACAGGAAGAAAAGGCCCAAAGGGAAAAGGGAAGGAGAAAGGGGGAGGATAGGGGAAAGGAAAGAAGGTAAAGAAAAAATATGAGATAAGAAAAAAATGGAAACAAATTTTTGTAAATAGGGAGGGGTGGAGGAGTTGAAGGGAGGGCAGGGAGAATGGGAAAAAAAATAAGAACCAACATATATCATGTAAAGGTACAAATTCTTAATGATGAATGTCACCATACTGTATACCTAAAATGTATCAGTAAGCCTAATGAATTTAAAAAAAAGAAAAAGAACTGTAGGCCAGGTGTTATGGTGCATTCCCACACTTGAGTGGGAGGATGTCCAGCAATTCAGAGCTAGTCTCTGTCTCAAAAATACCAAAAAGAAATAAAAAACAATTCAAATTTCTGAAAGGCAATTTAGCCATACTTACTGAAATATAAAATGCAGATATCCTTTAAAATATTATTTCCATGAGTACTACCTACAAATATTCTCACATGTGTAAATAAAAGTTTTATGAGGATGTTCATTGTAACACTTTTGTCATTACAAAATAAAATGGAATTAGACTTACTGTTTATCAAAAGAAAAAGGTGATGTAATATAATGTAACCACTAAATAAATGAAAGTAATCCATGTGTACTGGTTTATAAAGTTGTTCATTATCTAAGTACTCCAGATAAGTTACAGAGCAATGTACATAATAAACTTCACTTTTTAAGAATATAGAGTTCCATATATATTGGTATTTGATTTATGTCCTCATTCTTACATGATAAAACAAGCAACTTTGGAAATAGTTCAGGAAAGAGATGAAAGTGAAGATAGATTTTAATTTTTTAATGGTTGCACTTTTTTAATTACATAAGGCATGTCTTCCTAAAATACCTTCTAGTCAAATGTTAGACACTGAGTAACATAATGTCTGTGGCTAATAACCCAACTAATGAAGTGTTGGGAAATGAAAGAAACCAAATGATTTCACACACAACTAAAACCTGATTGGTTCTCAAGTTTCCAATATTCTGGAGCTGAGTTTAAATTCTGTCTAGAAATTCAAATCATCAAAGGATAAAATATTTTACCAGAGTAAACTGGAGAAGTCACTTGGATTTTGAATATCATTTCATCTGTACACTTTGCCTGGTGAATACAAGGTAACTCTAATTGACCATGTTTTAGTAGAATGTTTATCTTTGTAAAGTATCATGTGTCTCAAAAGGGCAAAAATGGTGTGAAAATATTTCAATATTTTGTAGTCAGACTAGGTGGAGGTTAAGGAGATGACACTGAAAGTTTATTAGGAGTAGAGGCAGTATTTATCAAATGAAAATCAGAACATATGAACAAGTATTTCTTAGTTTATGCAAATGAATGTATTGAATTTCTAAAGATATGAAAATGAACCCATTTGCAAATGTAGAGACTTCAGCAGCTTAGCAATTATTTTCAGCAGATCTAAAGTTGAGGACCCTGCTTTGTTCTTATAGGTAGCAATCTGAAACATGAAGACTTTGATTCTGCTGTTCTGTCTTCTCGGATCGACTCGTTCATTACCAGTAAGTGCAGTCTATTTGCCTTCTGTGCCAGCCATACAGCATCTCTAGCCATGGCCTCTCTTTCCCTGTAGCCATCAGAATGGATTTAATTTATGATGCATTTTTTTTTAGTTTCCTGTTTTTATTTTCCAAGGCAAAGGATGATACACTAATAAGGTGTTGATGTATATTTTAATATTTCTCATTTTAAAATACATTCACACAGTTATAGAAGAATTTCAGTTATTTTGGCAAAACAATGGGTTAGAAATGAGGGAAAAAGGAATGCCTCAGGCTATATCTACTTAAAATGGATACTTATTTGGGCCAGGGGTTTAGTTCAGTGGTTCTGCCATATACCTCATAAGCCCAAGGTCCCAAGTTTGATTCCCAGTACCAAAAAAAAAAATGGATATTTACTTGATTTTCCAAAAAAATTTTTTCTTGGCAACTAATTTTCTATTCATGACTGAAGAAGTAAACTAAATTTTCTGATTTCTCTAACTGAGTAATTATATGAGTTGTAGATTATATAAATTCTAAAAGGTCTATCAAACTGTGTGATACCAAAATCATATTATAAAATTACCAGTATTTTTTTACTCAGGACATTTCTTCACCAAACATGTTCATATGTAAAAGGTTCTGAAAGAAAAGAGGATCAGTGTTTCATACTTACTCCAGATAGCCACTTTATAAGCATACACATGGCTGGTTTGGATCTCGAAATGGACTTCTCTTTGTTCAAGATGTCTCAGTACAGACACTAAGAAAAAATGTATTTGCTGTTAAAAGAGGAAGCCATTCTTAGTTAAGCCTGAAGCTCACTTGACACTTCTATACTCATCCATATAATCAACCAATACTGATTGAAACCTCTCAGTATGTCAGACACTGCACTATTTCCTGAAAACACAACAGTGGGATAGGGGCTGATCCCCCATGGTGTTCACAAGACCTATGTATATGAATCAAATAATTGTGGTTAAAAAAAAAAGAAACATTAATTATAAATAGCTGTGATTAGCGCTGTGAAGGAAATGAACAGGGTAAGCTTAAGAGAGAACGGAACAAATCAGGAGTAACCAACCTCCCTCTTACTTCACTCCATGTCCATGCCCATTTCCTCCAGAAAGAAGGGCTCTGTGCAAATTTAATCTGAAACAAGGTAAAGTAGAAAGTTAACTTTTTGTAAAACAAATAGATATTTCACTTCACTGAATAACTTTACCAAAAGGTTCTTCAAAATAAAGTACAGTATATTTCAATATACAGTATATTTCATGCCATACAATGCATGAAAACTCAAGATAAATAAAACTTTGCAGAAGCACAGCCAAGGGGGCTGGGGAGCAGAGTGCAGACCTGTACAGCTGCCAAAGGAGCAGCAGATGAACAGGACAGATGTCAGGGACACGGAAATGGCAATGAATGTCTCCTAGGTGCAGGAGCAGTGTTTACCAAGTGAAAATCAGGACACACGAACAAGGTACTTCTTATTTTATGCAAATGAATGTGTGGAATGATAAAGACATGAAAGTGAATCCATTTGCAAATTAGAGACTGACAACAGCCCAGTAATTATTTTCAGTGGATCTAGAGCTGTGATCTAGACAGGTGCCCGATGGCAAATACTGAATAGAAAGAAAGGAAGTCAGATGAATCAAAGTCACAGAAGTAGGTGGCCTGAAAGAAACCAACATTCTTTCAACAAATATTTGAGTGCAGACAGATTTAGCTGCTTGGGTTATATCACTGAATAAAACACAGCATTTCTAGCCTGTGACATTTATATTTTAGCAAGGAAACAAGTGATAGCTGATAAACATCCTGAATCGGGAGATTACATGCGTGTTGGAGGTGGTGAGCATTAAGGAAAAGAGCAGGCAAAGCAGAGTTAGAGGGAGCAGGCCTAGGGCTCACGTCAGGGAGGGAAGCGTGGTCAAGGTGGTTCACAATAAGAAAGTGAATTCGAGTGTGAATTCAACTGAGGCAAGTGCAGCAGTAAAGCAGCATCTGGCGAAAGAGCCTTCCAGTCAGAGAAAACAGGTGCAGATGAGATGCTGAGGCAGGAATGGGCTGTACCAACCCCAGAAAGAGCACAGATCCTGCTGGCCTGAGCAGAGTGACAAGAGGAGACAAGGTAGGAAAAGGTCAGAGGGTTACTGAGGCCCCAGAGCATGAGGCTTTATAGACTTTGAGGAGTGTCTGCCTTTTACTCTGAGTGAAACTGGCAGTCATTCCACGCAAAGAGCAGAGGCAGTGACAGGATTACTGCTTTCAAAGGTTCACTCTGGCTACTGTGTTAACAAGATTTTAGGGATTAAAAAACAAACTCATCTGAAGAATGTATCCTTTCTCAGTCTCAATGCTGAAAGGAACCTCCAGGGACTGGTAATGCCAACCACTCTTTTTACAGCTAAGGGTGATAGTCCAAAGGGGAACCAAGAGTTGACTGCTCTGGAGCTGGTGCATGTGGAAGTCCACCCTCCCTTCCACAGTACACACCTAGGAGCAAAGGCTGGCTACAGTCAGCCAGAAGGGAAGGATTCGTTTTTCAGGACTAAGCAGGGCATTCCAGGGATTCTGGAACAGGCTCTACCACTCACATCACCTTACATAGGTGAGTTGGCTTCTCTTAGCTATAAAACAAAGCCACACAACTACACCACAGAAGTAGCAAGGACATTTTCATCCTTACTAGTCAGTGATTCCTCATACATTGGAAAATACCCTGGCCATGAAAAAGACTGAACTTTCATTACAGGATCAACATAGCAGGCACAAGGCAAAAGTGGGAAACTAATGAAAGTATAGTAGTATTTATGGCAGTTCAACTCAAGCTTTAGGATGCAAATATGCACAGAACTAAGATGCTAAGCATATATTTTATGTCTGGACAAAGAAGAAAAGCAGTTACAGAAAAGAAATAGAAGCCAAGGAAAGCCACTGAAAAACCCACCCCCCACTCCTTTCAGTGTTTGCCAATATACAGATCCATCTCCTGCCATGCATAAAATGTTCCAAGAAGTAAAACTGTTCCCCCATCCCCCTCCCAAAAAAAGGAGTAAAACTGTTCAAAATATATAGGGCTTAAAGATAGGCATTTTTGTAACAGAATGACCTGTTACCTTCTGGATGTAAGAACTGCATTCCTACCTTCTCAAATATTCGTGTTCACAGAAGCAGCTTAATTCTGCTTTGGAAGCCTCTCCAACAAAACCGGCTCCAGATCAGGTGACTACAGTAACCCAGCAGCAGCCTAGTCAGGTAAGTGTGTCTTACAAGAGAAAGATCTACAAGGGAAATGTGCTAAGACTTGTAGGTTTAACATCAAGATTTACACAGTGTGTCACATGTGTTGCCAAGCTGATATGTTCCTGCAGAATCTGTTTCTTCAAAGTATATTGAAATACTTTTGAAAACTGTGTTTCCTCTTGACAGCTATACTCCCTGCCCCTTCAACTTCCTATGTTGTAAAGGACTCTGCTACACCTACATCTAGACTTTGTGAAATAATGCAAATAATGCTAGAATCCAAAATTGTCTCTTTACTCAGTGGATATTGTAGAACAGTCAAGTGGGAAGCTAGTCTCCTTCCTTAAGGAGCCAGCAGATCAAACGATTTCAAGACCCTTCTTAAGAAATACAAACCGAAGCGAATATTGATGATAAAATAAGAAATAAGAGCAAGACAGCTAGCAACATAAACTTGACACATTGTTAAAGCGCTGTCCAGAACCACTGAAGGGGATGGCACGGCCTAGGAGGACCATGCAAGGCTACAATTTACCTGGGGGTAAATTCACCTTAGACAGGAGCACAGATGCCCTGAGCATAGCTACCTACTGACAGAGTGTCAGAAACAGACAATCTCTTATCTAACACATCAATTTCAACTCCCCACAGGTCTTCCCTTCCTTAAGTCTAATACCATTAACACAGCTGCTCACACTGGGGTCAGATCTGCAACTGGTAAGTACTCTTTAGAGTAATGTGGCATTCATTTTTTATAATATCCAGTGTTAAATCCGGTGCTTAGTGTTGAGTATGGAGGAGAGGTAGGAATGTGGGGAATGGTTATCCACCAGTGTGACACACACACACATATTCACTGTAGATAAGTGGAAAGAGAGAACAAGAGAAAAGTCAGAGAGAGTTGGGTTCTACTCGGTACATCCTGAAAAAAAATTTTCTTAATAAGAACAGCTCTTATAAAGGAATTGGTCTAATTCTCAAGTTCCTCTCACCTCTTCTCCAAGACCCTCTCCCCATTCCTCCACCATACCTTACTCGGTGCCCATTATAACATCCCCAAGGACACCCACATAACCATACTCACACCGGTAATAAGAGCACACTGAAAAGAGCAGAAAGACCTTCAGTCTTCCCACAGAGTATCTTTTAAATTTAATCGGTTTGGGGTAGAAAAACAACTCTCTTTCCTAATTAAAATGGACTTTTTCCAGTGTTCATATTCAAGTATAGTATTAATTCGTGGTCTAACTAGAAAATTTATTCTCCACCTCCTAATTTTCATGGAATGTCTTTGAAGGAATTTATTTCTCCAGAGGTAAAAAAGGGTAAAGCCCAAGAAACTTTGCTGTTATAGCCATAAAGGGAAAGCAAGGAAATATCACCTAAATAATTCTCCACGAGAGTGAGTTAAATGCCAGTGAAAATGTAATATGGGGAAAGTTAGTGATGGACTTTGTCTTTGTACTAGCACAGTAAACAAGTCTAAATTTTACCTGTGTCTAATTATGCACCTAGTAAAATAGTATATATTTATATAACAAATCCTTCCTCTAAATGTATTTTTACCTTTGGCAAGTATACTTTAGTTTCCCAATGTTCACACTAAAGAAACACAATGAAGATCTCTCTCATTGCCCCACAGCTTACTCCTGCCCCAGGGGCGGCCCCTGGTGCCCAGAAACTGCCGCTAACCCTGGGGGCACTGAATGGACAAAATCAGCTGCAACAAGTAAGTACCATGACTGAGGGAAGTGGCTCTAGGATAGATGTGCATAGGTTTGAGAGAATTTTTTTTAAGCACATTGAAAATTATTCCTGGGTCATGTGAAGATGTATGTTCCATAAAAGAGAACAGTATTTGGCGGTTTGGTTCTCACTAAAGCCATACCCAGAACTCTGAGTATGCTGCACTGTGACTATTCCAGAGTACATTTATAATAGTAAGATGGAGAACCACAGAGAGAGGGAAGATTGGAAAGGGGAGAGAGTAAGAAGAGAACCTGAGAGGAAGTGACATTGTTCTCTGCTGAAGACATTCTGGGTCACCAAGGTCATCCCAAAGAAAATTAAGAGATGGGTACAGGTTATCTTCAGCAAGTCTAACCTTCCTCTTGTTTGTGCTCTTTGCTCACGACCCCTCACAAATCCCCTAGGGACTCTCAGTCACTATGTCCTCACTGCCCACCACTGCTTGCTTTCAGGAAAAGTCTTAGAAAATACTTTCACACTAAGACAAAAATGACACAGTTAAGATTTCATCATTCCTTGGAAGTGCATGCATTTTAACCTTGGACAAGTCCAAATCCTTAGCTTCTGGAATCTTCTCTAAAAAATTTAAAAAGCTTTGGAGAAAATATGCTTATCCCGTAATGGTTAGATTAAATTATTTTTGGATAATTTATTCTCTCCAACATGTCAAGCCCATTATCTCCACACAGTTATTTAATGTTTTGTAGGATTATTTATTGCTTATTCTGTTATTATATTAATTAGAAAGAATTTTTAAAATACATATAAGCAAAGACAAATAATAAGATTCACCAGAAACAAACTCTATTAACATTCTGGGATGTGTCCTTCAGTCCTTTTTTAATGTATATAGTACATTTTCAAAACAAATTATGTTCTTGCTATACTGATGTCTTTGCAATCTGATTTTTTCCACTAAATACATTTTGAATAGTTTTCATGTCTTAAAATATTCCTTTACAGCATCGGTCTAGTGTATTCTTAGGATGCGACTGTACACTAAATTCTTTTCTGTGAAAGTGTGGAGATTTCTTTTCCCAAACACTCTGCTTCTATGAACAATGCCACAGCAAACACCCTTATTACTAATTCTCTGACCACTTTGATGAGTATCTCCCTTGGGCCAATTCTTAGTGTCTGAAATGAAAGACACACAAAATACCTTACAATGTAAGTCTTAGTCATAAAACCTACCCTTGAAAAAGGTTTGAAAAATGCAAATAAAGTAAAAGTCTCCTCAACACATGCTCCTGGTGTGATCCACACTCTGACTGCCCAGCTTCAGTCTCAACTGTTGCCCTGCTCTAAACTTAAAGACAGACTTAGTACAAGTTCATGTCCCTAACAAGTACTTGTTCCCTGGAGTCAAAGGCATGAGAGGTCTTTGTAGAAGTTACAGAAGTTCCGGTATAGTGGGTTTAACGATGCATGCTTCCAATGTGCAAGAATGTAAGTCAACCCCCAGCATCAGTGGAGATTCTCTGCTGTCACTGGACTGTGCCCCCACTAAGGACAACCACGTCCAATCTTCTGTGCAGCACCAGTCTCTGCACTCCCATTTCTCCCTATAAAGAGAGGCTAACTTCCTCTGCCACAAATCTAGGTACCCCTTGGCAGCTCCCAATTATCAAAGGAGTGGTTTGGAGTAGACTCTAGATCCATAAAACTCCCAGCCAAATCTCAGCTCTTCGTTTAGCTCTGGAGTAGTAGAGAGTTCCAGAGCATTCCAACACCTCACCCAAATCTTTTCCAGCTACAAATTCCTAACATTTAATTACCAGTGACTGCTGAATTATTGCTCAGCTAATTCTAAGTGCTCTGTCAATGCTGGGGTTACTGAGCAGTACATCTTGTGAGTTCCTACCATGCTCTATTTTAACAACAAAACACTCAGGCAACTATTATGAGAATAATAGTTCTATTATAATATTATAATAGAACTATTATGAGAATAACCTCTGTGTTTTAAAATACCAATTATATGTTTTAATGAATCTTCTGAGACAACATGTAACAGAAATCTATGCATTTTATCATCAGCTTCTTGAAATGATTTTCAATATGAAATCTGTTAGACACTCAAATTACTTCTTGTTTATCTGTGTTAGTCAGCTTTCCATTACTACAACAAATACTTAGGGTTACCGACTTAATGAAAGAAAAGGCTGATTTAAGACAATGGTAATAGAGTTTCAGTACATACTTGGTTGTCCCTGCTACATCTGGACCTGTGGTAAAGCAGCTTGTCATGGCAGGAAGCACATGGCAGTACAAAAAGCAGCTAACCTCATGGCCAGGATGCAAAAGAGGGGAAAAGTAGGGATGAGAATCCCAGTGCTCCCTTCCAGGACAAATCCCCTAGTGACTGGGAGACCTCGCAAATGAACCCATCTCTTAAGATTGATCATCTTCCAAAGAGTGCCACAAGCTGAGTACCCAGCCTGATCACATGGAGCTTTGGAGGACACAAACCCTCATAGCAGTATCTACTGTGCTAACTTCTACCTCGAATGTGCTGGCGTGGACAGGGTCTTAAATATCTCCCTGACTAATCTTACAAATGGGGTGAGTCCTATCCAGTTCTATAAATGAGTCCGTATCAATGATTATATATGATACATTAGTAACAAATATTAGTTAAGCAAATATATCTTTTTAAGAAAATCCTCAATATTTATACTATCTCACAGAATTTATCTTTTAATATATTTTTAGTGAATTTTTCTCTTTTATGTTTAGGTGTTACCAATTTTTGTAACACAAGTTGGAGCCCAGGTGAGATTTTTTTAATGATTTTTACCTTAAATCACTTTGATGTAGAATATTTAATCTTGTTCCAATTTGCCAATTAGTCACCAAGTTTTCAATTTACTTGGCATTGTATGGCTGTTCATAATAACAGGAGTTAATACTAATTGGCACTTACCATGTGCCAAGCACTGTTGTAGTATTTCACATGTATTATTTTATGTAATATTGAAAACAATGTCTTGAAGACATGATTTTATGTCCCATTTGAAAATAAGTAAGTAGAAATACAGGTACTCAGTGAGAGTTGCACCTTTAGTAAATGGAGCACCAAAAGAAGCAACCAGTCAGTCCCCCCGACCAAATTGTTAAAAGAAACTAATACATGGAATTCATCTTATGAGTCATAATTTGAGGGATTATATTTTACTCTCAAATTTATTTTTACCTGTATGTATTTTCCAAAAAGATTGACCATGTTCTCTCCTGTCTTCTTATTTACTTTTGTGACAGTAATTCCTGATAGCACTGATAAAATTACCAAGGGTCAAGATTAATATTAGCATAGGTGACAACTTTACTTCTAAAAACAGACACCAATATAAAGTTTCTAACAACTCTTAATTCCACATCTTGGACCATGTCCCAAGAAAATATGACATAGAGCAAAGGTTTATGTTCAACATCATCATCTAAGCAATATTTTGGTGAAGAAAAATGTTGAGCATAACTCAATTTTAGGACTGGGAGAAAATGGTTAGGTAAACTGTGCAAAATAAGAGTAAACACTGGGGCCATTCAAAATTGTATTTATTAAAATTTGTAAATAATACAATTAAGTGACTGCTATAGATTTTTTTAAAGGTAAGACATAAAACTGTATAATGATATAATTTCTATTATGTAAAGAAGAAATATATGGAAAAAAACAGTACATCAAACTGAATGGTGAAATTATGCCACCCTCTCTCCCTCTCTCTCTCCATTTTCCAAGTACCCCTCACTATGCATTTATCACTTAAAATAGAAAAATACATAACTGTTTAAATGAAAGTGACCTCACATTATTCAAATTATACATATTGACATTCCTGTATTATAAGCTACCATTGGTTTTCTAATAAAGATCACAAGACAGTTTAACATATTATTGACATTTTTTAAATGTTTCTTTATAATACTTTATTTTAAGTTTTTAAGTTATGTCTTACAATGTATATTGCCTTCAATATATTTAAATTTGCCTAATACCTTGTGTTTATAATTTTGCTTTTAGGCTACTATGCTAAGCTCTGAGGAACTGGTAACAATTTTAATCACTATCATATTAACTTCTTTTCACTTCTATACAATGTCTTCTGTCTTTACATAGTCTCCTTTGACCAGAAACCAACTCATAACTTGCAGTCTGTTTAGTCTTAGTTTTTTTTTTTTTACTGATGTCTGTCACTCACTTTTATTTCAAGACTGTGGGTATCATCCTCAGTTTGTAAAATTCTGATTTTCTACCATCTGACCTAATTCTAGTTCTGGTTTTATAAATATACTTCTGGTTTCTCTTAAAACTCAGATAAACTTCATTCTTGGCCCACTAACTCAGAATGACTTTGAGAAGTAGTTTGAAATGCAAAGTTATGGGCCTGACCTAGACCTGACCAATCAGAATCCCTTCAACAATGGAGAACCCTAAAGTTCATTCAGTTGTTTCAAAAACCACACAGAGTGGCTGAATTGATGACAGAAATATTTCTGCATGAATATTCCAAGGTCTTGAAAAATACAAAGGGCTGGGGGTTCGCTTGGTGATACCGCACTTACATGGCATGTGCAAGGACCTAGATTCTTTCCCTTGCCCCCCAAAAAATTTTAAAGATTTGAGCAGTGAAGGTCATGGCTAGTTAATCTACTTGAACTAATTTCTCATTAATATTTAATCTCCTAACTTGCTTAATACTTGTTTAAATCTTTTATGAAGAAAAGGAAGGTTATGGTATAGATGAATAGCAGAGAGATAGCCCATCACTGTCATATGGATCTTCTGCCTTAGTAATCCTCCAGGTATACAAGCTACCTTTTCCCATGGCTGGCTTAATTCTGGCCTTCCCTTTCTGAGGAAAGGAGCCAGCAGAGTGCCAGTGATGAAAACAGCATCCACGTGGCTCTAGCCCAGAGGCATCTCCTCTAAGGAAGATAGGATCTTCGTGTGTTCTCTGACTCCACCCTCTTCAGCTTGCTGTTTCTACCCCAGCTTTCTGCCCTCCAACGATGAAAGGTCCATTAAATGGACTTCAAATGTGTTCCTTCTGACTTTATCTTGTTTCTTTCTCTCATCTAGCCATTGGGCTCCCAGTTTTTCACAGGCCTCCTCTTGCATACTCTGTTTCCGGGAGGCATCCTGCCCACCAGTCAGGTAGGGGCTAATCCAGATGCCCAGGATGGAGCCCTTCCAGTGGGACAAGCAGGAGCAAATGCTAACATCCAGGCCACCCCAGAGGGCCACCTCTCAACTCCTGGTGTCACCGATGATGACTTTGAAGCAACCACTCCTGCAGGCATCCAAAGGGCCACACACACTACCAAGGGGATCACCACAGGGTCACCAAATGGTGAGTTTTCCCCAGCTTGGAAAGTGGCTCTCCCCTGAAAGAATGCAGAATGAGAGAAAATAGCTCTTTGTCTTGCTTTGACAACTGCAGATCTTAATTAACCAAGGAGCCCTCTTTACTCACTCATGGTTGACTTAAGCAAGTTGAAAGAGAGTTTTTACCAGGCCACCAACCCTATGGTAGTAAACCTGAAAGAAAATATGTAACTACTTTCATACATATGTGCTTTCCATCTCAGCTCAGAGCTGGAAATATTTGGAAGCAGACTGTGCACCTCTCCTTCCTGTCTTCCCCCCATACACACATACATACAAACACACAGGCCTATGGCAAACGCCAGGAACAGATCCATACTAAGATCAATTCTTCCTGATCTTTTCTTCAACCCATTAGAGTGAGCCTCCAAACTTCCTAACATAGTACTGCAAGCAGCCACTGATAGGCTGGAGTTCACATAACAGATGAACCCATCATGAGACTTTAGAAGTGTTACAAAACTAAGATTTTCTAGTCCAACTAGCAAATATGCTTGTTTAACATGTGGGGATACCTAGAAACAAATATCCTTAGGTTAAAAAAATAATAATGACTAAATATCACAATGCCTAATTTTGGAAAAGAAAGTTGTTATTGTGTGGAATATTTAAACTCAAAATGCTTTTAACTACATTTAAGAGGTATTTTGTTTTCTTCCAGGAATTCACTAAGCTGTATCAAACTTTTTCAACTAAACCGCCTCAAATTTGGTGATACATGTGAATCTCTTTCATTAATTATATTATGGAATAGCTTGAGACTCACTGGAGGGTCTTCGAAGAAATTCTTAGCTTACCTGAAACCTCTCTTTGAAATTTCAGAAAATATGTTAAATGTAGAGAATATTAATTTCTGAAAAAAATAGTTAAATGGGTAAATTTGTCTTTGAAATATACCATTTCAGAATTGGAAGATTCATATATTAAAATATATTTTGAAATTTGACTCTTTTCTTCTCTGGGATGGAAGCAAGCCAGATGTCTTCAAAAACTCATGACCTTCAGACACCTATATGACACTCTAGCTCTAAAACATCTGTATAATATTGTAGGTCTAAGACTTCCTCTGGAAATAGAGAGCACATTGGTCAAAAGGGAGAAAGGATCCTCAGCAATGTGAGGACAAATTCTGATCTCCTCCCACTGCCTCAGCACCCACTCTCCCCAAAGAGAAACAAATTTTCAATCATTTACAACACAGAGGAAATAAGTAATTTAAAATAGCCTGTCTTCAGCTTGCTTCACAGTCAAAGCTATTATGTCATTTATTGTTTAATTTTTAAATAGCTTTTTATTAATTTTATTGGCACACTTCTGATGTACATAATAATCAATTTAATCATAGAGAATTGGTACCTGTACATAATACATCTTGGTTCTTCTTTCCCTAACCCTCTCCCTCCTTTCAACCCTTCTTCCTTCTCATTTACAAAAGTTTTGTTTTCATGTTTTTCCTCATATTCTCTTTTTCCTTTTCCTTTCCTTCCCTTCCCTTTTCCCCCTCCCTTGCTTCTATATTTAACTTTGGTATATCTGAGTGGGAATTGGCACTGATGAAAGTAATTACTAAAACAGACAAATGTGATACTACTTTTGCTCCGTCTGACTAAAAAGTAGGATTTAATCTGACTTAAATGTATGACCTAGACCACTGCAGTTATCCAGACTGGAGGGGAAAACGGAGTGCTAGTGTTACAAATTACAGCCTATCCCAAAAAGGAAATAATGGATATGGTTAATAACATCTCTTACTGTATGTATTTGGTCCCCATTAGTATAGAACAAATGTAAATTTGCACCTATGTTCTCCATAACAAGTTTTTCAGGTGATTAAAGATTTAGTAGTGGTTAAGGATTTGTGTCTCAGATTTGCAGAATCTGAATAATGTATGTATGTATTGAGAAGTTTTTCATTCTGGGTGAGAGTAAATTAGGATTCAATCTTTCAAACATAGTTTGCCATTAATGATAATAATATTAAGTGTCATGAAAAGTCTTCCTACGTAACACTGTATCAAAGAAATCTGAAGCCTTACTTTTCTTATCTGTAATGTGGCAGTAAAAGTCCCTGTCATAGATATCAGACAAGGTCAATATGACAACCAAAGTAATAATCCATGATGATGCTTTGCCAACTCCAAACCACAGTAGAAATTAATTTGTTTATTGTCATTATCTTTCAAACAAGTTGAGGCCATCTGTCCTTCCATCCCCAACCATAGCCCCTAAACTGCCACACACACACACACACACACACACACACACACACACACACACACATATATATGATTGTAGAAATATACTGTACTCCATTGTTTTCCTCTTCTTTCAGTCATTCTTCTCCCATCTTATCAAAAAATATTTAAAGCCTATTTCATCTTTCACAGATCTTACTGCAGAAATTGCTTTGGGACAGAAAATCTCAAGCACACAAAACAAATGAAAAAATTAAAATATTGACTGTTAGTGTTAGAATGAGACTGACCCTTTGCAACCTGGGAAGTTTCTGGGTCTTAGTTTTCAACAAAATTAAACAAGGCCTTACAGAATTATCAGATCATTAAGTTGTTTAAAATAATTTTGACAGATGTAAGTGGAAAACATCACATTAAGTAAACTTAGTAAGACTCAGAAAGTCAAACATCACATAGTTTCTCTCACATGAGAAATCTAGGAAAAAGACAGAGTGAAACATGAAAGTAGTAGGGAGAATATTAGAAAAGATTAAGGGGTGGAGAGGGGAAAAGAAGGAAAAAAAGAGTAATGGGAAGGGAATGAGCAAAGTGTGTCAAATGAAGCCATTAGTCTGTTAATTAATATGTAATTCCAAATTAATTTAGATGATAGAAATTAAAACTTAGAAATTGAAATGATCTAGTTACAAACTCATTTTAAAATATTAATGGTAGATAAATTACACAATGATATACATAAATAATATATTTTTTATTTTTTAATAACATATATTTTAAATGAAAAATAACTGTGTTTTTAATGTGGTGAGATACTTAATTTAACCCAAAAATATAGTGAGAATAGTTTTTTCTTTTTGTTTTATTCTTTTTTATTTTATTTTTATTACTCCATGTTTGCAATACACTTTTTTGAAATACACAAAATATCAATAGCTAATATTTTAAAGTAGTCGCTCACAATGTTTACTAATTTGTATGCTATGCTAGGAATCACCTCCCCCTAGTGAATTTGAGATAAAAAAATGATGAGCAGTGAGTCTGCAGCAGCCAAGGAAAAGCAGCAACACAAGGGCAAAGGTACTACTAAAAATAAATTATGTCTCAACTCTAAGAGTCACCCCAAAGCAGAAACTTAGGAAGGAAGGTGTTGATGGGTGACATTTAGAGAAATCAGTGAGTTGTGAGCAAAGTGAAAGAGCAGGTCATGAAGGTGGTGCCATAGAGGTGCCTCTGAAGAAAGTACCTGAATGCAGTCACCCCATGGAGTCTGAAGACCCCATGGGCCAGGCAAAGGGGCACAGGAGAAGAGCCGCAAAACTGTAAGCTCATTGCCCTGATGAAATTGGAAGCTCTGACCAAGTTTAGAAATACAAGATTTAAGAACCCACATTCAGAGGATAAAATGGCACAAAGAAACACAGGTAGAACCTTTAGTTATTCATATACTATTCATATACTAAGAAGTAAAATGAGAAACCACATACCCAGTACAAAGTGGATATATTTTAGACCAACACATAAAACAAAGAACTACAACAGTAGTCACTGGCTACAGAGTTGAATTAAAATTAACAAGTGTAGATTAAACTTCCTTAAAATGCATAACCTCAGCAAGACATTACAGATAAGAGTGCCTCAACAAGTGATGTATTTTTGTCCCACCTAGAGTCTACTAAACTTTTAATAGTCTCTTATTTTATTGAAGACTCTATAGTCTATTTTATTTCACTGTTTCTATGAAACTCCAAACAGAATAATTTGAGAAGTCATACAAGAAAGGAAGCACATATGAGATCACTTTTTCTGTGGATAGTCACACTCTCTCATCACCTTCCCAGATGCACAGCCACCACTGGCTGTGGTGGGCACACTTATGTTGCAGATCACCCCTCCACCCTCTGGGGAACTCCTGAACATCAATACACACTGCTAAGGGGTTTTGCGATGACCCTATAGCCTAACCTTCTGGTCTACAATTCATTCTTTTGTTCTTTCTTCAACCATGTCTAATCAAATATGAATCCTGTTTTCTCATAATTTTATTTATTCACTTTCACTTCTAAAATTTCTATTTTTTTAATCTATAATACCACATTTTATATTTCCAGATTCCTATCAATTTTTTCAATATTTAATTTCAACTACTTGAATATAGTCTTAGTTGGTTTTTTGTTTGTTTGTTTGTTTGGTACCAGGGACCAAACTCACGTCCTTGTGCTTGCAAGGTAGGCTTCGGAACCACTGAGCTAGATCCCCGCACTGTTTTTTTTTTTCAAACAGAATATAACCCTACACTACCCCCGCCCAACCCCCACGCCTTGGCAGCAGACCAGTGAGAGGCAGAGTCCTGAAGGTGCCTGCAGCCCCTCAGCACATATCACACACACACACACACACACACACACGCACACACCTCTGGCCCACTGGCTGGAATGGTATCTGGATAAACACCACAGAGACACAGGGACTCATTAAGGCCATTGTCCTGAGCTCCAGCCTCAATTTTGAGTTATTGACATGGTTAAAAGTATAGATTAATAACTACCACAAATTGTCATTTTCTAAGCTGTGCTTGATACTACTGTGTTACTGACTATATCACTTGGGCTAAGGTGTTGTGATTGATCTAATCAGTTGTGCTCCCTGGAATAATGAAAATGAGATTGCCCCAGAGTCATTAGAGACTCAAAACCTAAAGACCAGCTATATCTGGGAGATTGAAGTATTAAGCCAGGAAATAAACCAAGAATGGTACCAATGACAAAAATAGAAATGAGAAAACATATAAACAAGATACAAACACAGACT